CTTCCCTTTCTTAACAGTTAGGTGCTGAACGTTTCTGGGCTAGTTTACTCTCAAATGTAAATTAAGATAACCGGTTTAGTATCTAAAGTCTTAACTCATCCCAGCAGTGTATCTTGCTATAAAATTTTATCAGCCTGGGGTTTGAAATACACAAAAGTGGTACTAGATGATGGGTATGTGGGTTCATTATTCTACTACTGGGTGTGTTTGAAATTTTCCATTAAAACTCTTTCTTTCTAAGAATCGACTAGAAAACAAAAAATTTACAAGCACCCATTTTTTCACCTCACCTATAAAATTAGATTCACTAAGGCCCAAGAATGCTGTTGTAAATCTTAAGCGAGATAATGCACTTACCAGGTTGGAGGCTTTTTACAATTTGTGTACTGATTTTTTATTTTACATTTTACAAGGAAGCACTGGAACTAAGAAGATCTTGAAACTCATTAAACTATTTGTTCCTTCCCCCAAAATGTTTTTGCCTTTATGTTTTTGTTTTCAGTCTCCAATAAATAACAGTTGTCATTCTCTCTGTTATTAGTAAGGATAGCAATTCCATTCCTCTATCCTTACTACTTGACTGCAATACCAAATGACTCCTTTGAAATGTTTCATGGCAGGGCATGGTGGGTCATGTAATAGTCGCACTCTGAGAGGCTGAGGCGGGCAGATCACTTGAGCCCGAGTTTAAGACCTGCCTGGGCAACACGGCCAAACCCTGTCTCTACAAAAAATACAAAAATTAGCCAGGCATGGTGGTGCACACCTGCAGTTCCAGCTACTCAGCAGGCTGAAGTGGGAGAATCAACTGAGCCCAGGAGGCCAAGGCTGCAATTAGCCATGATCATACGACTGCACTCGTCTGGGCAACAAAGCAAGACCCTGTCTCAAAAAAAAAAAAGTAAAAAATAAGCAAACACTCCTATAGACAATTTGTGGTACCCATTTTGGCTATCCAGATTATGGATAGCCAAAAAAGCCTGTTTATCTGGATTACATTCAGTGATATTACTATTTTACTATCCAGATTATGGATAGCCAAAATCCATTTTATTCAATAAATATTAACCACTTACTATACAGGAGACCAGTGATTTTCAAACTGACAAGCTTGAACATTTTGTGGGTTGTGAAATTAATCTAGGTCACAATCAGCATTTTACTGTAATGAAATAGAAAACATTAGAGTGCATGGCATAGTATGGACCAGCATTGTTCATGAATTTTTTTTTTAACTTTTATGTATGTACTAAATCACAATGTCAATCACATTTCTGTGGCTGCCATTTTAAAAAGTTTGAAAGCCACTGAGCTAGACAATATGCTAAACTGAGCTGCCAAATAAGCTATCTGTAGCTATCAATAAGGTATTACCAATGTAAATATTTCTCTAAGCTAACATGATTTTAATCAGTTACACAGGTAAGTCACATGGAAATGACTAACATAACTTAAGATATAATTATATTATTTCCTATTTGTAAAGAAAACATTTCATTCTTTAATTCATTCATCAAATGTTTGTTGAACACATGCTATGTGCCAGGAACACGTGGAATGCTGGTAAAACAGGCAGCATTTTTGTCCTCATAAGGTTTACAGGCTACTGTGGGAGGCAGATTTAAAAAACAAGTAAAAATGAAGAAAATTACAAACTGAGATAAACATTCTGAAGAAAACAAGGGTGCTACAGAATGAAGAGAAGAGAGGCACAAGAGCAACAGACAGACATTCCTCAGAAAGAATGAATTCTCAAGGAAAGCCTCCCTTAAGAGCATGAGACCCACTGGATCAGGAGTCAGCCCTGGCAAGAGCGGGGACAGGAACAGTTCAAGATGAACTTCCAGGATAAGGGAAACAATCACACAACATGCTGATGGGGTAAGCAGGGACTAAGTCATACAGAACTCACAAACCTCGGCAAGGAGTTTGGTTTGAATCGAAGAGCAAAGGAAATTCTGGCACTTGTGACAAAATGGAAGGAAAAACTCCAAAGCATCGTGAATAAAGCCTACTTACTCTTCTAAAACAGCAATTCTCAAAACTTCTGACCTCAAAATTATTGAAGACCCAAAAAAGCCTGTTTATCTGGATTACACTCAGTGATACTACTAATTTAGAAATTAAAAATGAGAAACGTAAAGGAATACACAAGCACATATTCCATTAGCCATCAGCATAACGTCCTCACATATTATTCAGCCTCTAGAAAAAATACAAATAACACCTTAGTCTTTCTAATGAAAAGAGTGTTGACCCAAGAGTTTCCAGATTACACTGGGAATGCTATAAAACAAGTAATTCCGATCCCCAGAAAGATAGGTGAGCTATATATTTTAAAATTTTAATTAGAAAGTCTCAGACATAACACGCAAACATGTATTTAAACTGAAAGAAAAGTGGCATATAACAAATCAAATTGCCAGAAGCAACATTCCTACACTTACTCTTTGTAGTTTTGTTTTTCCATTTTGTCAAGCAAACGTTTTGATAGTTGGGCCAAAATTCCTAAACAGGATGACTGCAACCTAACCATCTGCTAGCATTTACTAAAAAATACTTCTCGAGTATACACTAGACTGGCTTCTCCACGTTGCAATGGTAAGAACTAATCCCAAATGCTTTTGTTATCCATATTTTACCATCTTTTCAAAGTTTTCAAAATAACCATTTAAAACGTCACTTTCAAGTATCTCTCCACATATTTTTAAAACCCCCAGTGATATGTAATTTTACCTGAAAGTAGTTTTACCCACAATTTTTTAAAGATAGGTGTTTCATCAATACTGTTCATGCTTGCAAACAAGAGAAACTATCCAAAGGAACTGACTCAATATCTAAACCTTTTGTGTCATGTTTTCACTTTTGCAAGACGCAAATAAAACACTAACAGGTTTTTATTAGACAACAAATAAGTTAATTTAAAACAGGGCTTTATTAAGACTATTGCTCAAGAAATCTCTCTTTCCAAAATGGCCTACTGTCGCACATTCCTTCACACAGGTGAATCTTTTCACCTGTTATGTTTTCGTAATGGGCTTGAAATCAATCTAAATCTGTCAGGATGGCCCCACAATCTTAACCACCCACCCTACAGCGACCTGACCCGCTCTCCCTAAGTGACACTGTCGCGGTGGGGGAACGGGGGGCGCTCTCCTAGCCATAGGACACAAGGCCGGCTTCGGCACTTAATGCCCGCCAACGCCAGAGATAGGCCTGACACTTTAGGCAGCCTTGCAAAGCAGAGGACACACGAAGTTCACAGGTAAGTACGATCTGCACAGCGGAGAGGAGGAGCGAGCAAGGGATAATGACAATAGGGAGGGAAGGCGGGGGAGAAAACTGAATAGGCCGAACACAAAGACAGTCGGAGCCGGGGAGAGCCTTGTCCTCTCCTAAGCGGGAAGGCCCGCCGGCCAGCACCCCCGCCCACCGCGGCTCGGCCCTGGTCCCCGGAGCCCGGCGGCCTCACGTACCTCCGGCGCCTGCTCCTCCGCTCGCTCCCAGGGCGGCCGCCATGGCACTCGCGGGGCCCGGCCTTCAGCCTCGCCCACCAAGCCAGCTGGTGGGCCAACGTGCCTGGTCCGGGCCCGGGTACTGGTGGCGGAGGACAGGGAAGGGAGGGGGCTGCAGGAGGCAGAGGCGAAGCCGGGCGTTTCGCGGTCCACAGCTGCCCCTTCGCCTCCGCAGGAAGAAAACAACAAACTACCGCAACATGGCCGCGGGCCCGCGCCCGCCGCGGTGCACGCTGGGATGATGGAGGCCGGGAGGCGGGCGGGCGCCGGGGCCTGCCCCCCGCCGAGGCCGTAGCAGCCCCGAGGCCGCCGCCGAGTTTCGGACGGCGCGCGTGCAACGCCAACACCCGGCAGCCACCTCCGCCCGACTCCTGAAACCCAAATGTTTGAAGCAGGGCGGGGACGACTACTGGCCGTAGGTCGATTCCGGGTTCAGTCGTAAGGCGCTTTGCAGCAGTCGGCAAAGCGAAGCTTTACGGCAGTCGGTCTCCCGTTAGGAGTTGGGGAGGGAAGGCCCAGCGTACGGTCCCCGGTCAGGGGGAACTTAACTGTCGTTTCTGTGCCTGGACAGTAGGAGAGTGGGGTCTGAATGAGCTGCAGTAGTGAACGCCGACGGCTTGTGTTGAGGGCAGGAAAGGCTGCGCACAACTCTGGCAGGTGCTTCTGCGAGCTAGGATGAGCGCCGCCCGCCCCGTACTAACGTGCACGCGCACTCGTGTGACTCCCACAAGCCCTCACTTCCTACGACCCGAGAGGTTCCGGACCCGCGACCCGGGACCCCCGTCCCTTTCCCCGCGCCTGGCTGGGCAGCGCGCAGCGCCGGGCCCTGGTGGGCTCTGCCCCTGCGCTTTGCGGCCCTGAGAACAAGACATGAGCCGAACGGACAGCGCCCCGCACTCGTGTCTGAGTTTGCATTTTTGTGCAGTGAGAAAGGTTGAGAAACGAAGTCCTCATACGTGACGTAAAGGAAGGAGTGCTGGGTGGTCAGACAGCTGTGGACGAAAGGGCTCAGGGGTTTGGGGGTGTGGGGCCCCGGAAGGCGCGTCTGAGTGGTCGCAGTCGGGGAAGGGGGTTAACTGGGCGTAGTGGCACATGTCTGTAATCCCAGCTACTCGGGAGGCTGAGGCACGAGAATCACTTGAACTCAGGAGGTGGAGGTTGCAGTGAGCCAAGATCACACCACTACACACCAGCCTAGGTGACAAGAGTGAAACTCCATTTCTACATGAAGTACACACCAGCTGCAAACATTGATTCCGTATCGATGAATGAGGGGCTGAGGTGAGGCGTGCTGACCCAGCAATGAGACTGGACAGGTAGGCAGGGGCCAGGATTCCGGACTTTGGGACGTTTTTCTGACTCTGTGGGGTCTGTTGAAAGATTTTAGGAACAATTTACATGATAAGATTTGTATTTTAGAAAGGTGACTAATATAACAATGTAGAGGACCCTGCAGTGTGGAGAGGCATGAAACTGAAGGTCCAATGCCGTGAGTTAACCAAGATGTCCATACAGAAGATGCATTGGCGGGTGGGTGAAGAGATGGTAAAACGGTACGTGTAATAAAATGCTGGCCAGGCGCGGTGGTCACGCCTGTAATCCCAGCACTTTGGGAGGCTGAGGCGGGCGGATCACGAGGTCAGGAGATCTAGATCATCCTGGCCAACATGGTGAAACTCTGTCTTTACTAAAAATACAAAAATTAACTGGGCGTGGTGGCGCCCGCCTGTAGTCCCAGCTACTCAGGAGGCTGAGGCACAAGAATCACTTGAAACTGGGAAGCGGAGGTTGCAGTGACCCGAAATCACACCACTGCACTCCAGCCTGGCGACAGAGCGAGACTCTGTCTCAAAAAATAAAATAAAAATGCCAATGGTAGAATCATCGTAGCTAAAAGAATATTTACAGTAAAATTATTCAATTTTTGTATGTTTGAAATTGTAATTTTTTATCAAAAAATAAACATTCCTGGATTAATAGCTAACGTAAATAATACCTAAAATAAAAATCAGGAACGTTTTTAAAAATAATTATTCAACTATGAGAAGTCACTCCCCAAAAAAAATGTTTTGCAAGCAACACATTGAAAAAATGGTCTCTATTAGCACATTAATACATCCATACTTAAATGGCTTGAACTCTTTATCACCTTTCATTATTTTTTGAACTGTGGAGGATGGCATGCCTAACTCAGAAAATATTTTTCAGGATAATTCATGGTGATCTTGAGAAGAATTCCACAAAAAAAAAAAAAAAACAGATTAACAGATGAAACAATCTCATAAGCCACTTAACACTGAATTTCTCTAGAACAAGAATCTATAAAATTTTTTGATCAAACACCCACTGGAAAAATTTTTGAACATGGACACCCAGTATTTGAAGTTCTTGGTAAATTACTGTGAGCAAAGATTTAGCCAACCCCTTTTCCTTATCTGTGAACGAATTTCAGTTTGTGTTAACTTTAACTCGCCATGGAAACCTTATGAAGGCAGAATGTTCATTGTGGTATAAAACAACATTGGTTGTAGGCCAGGCGCGGTGGCTCATGCCTGTAATCCCAGCACTTTGGGAGGCCGAGACAGGAGGATCACTTGAGGTCAGGAGTTCAAGATCAGCCTGGCCCACATGGCAAAACCCCATCTCTACTAAAAATACAAAAATTAGCTGGGCGTAGTGGCACATGTCTGTAATCCCAGCTACTCGGGAGGCTGAGGCACGAGAATCACTTGAACTCAGGAGGTGGAGGTTGCAGTGAGCCAAGATCACACCACTACATACCAACCTAGGTGACAAGAGTGAAACTCCATTTCTAAATAAATAAAAAAAACATTGCTCGTGGTGAAAATGACCTCTGACTTATATTGTACACTGCCTCTGGCTTGAAAGTACTGAATAATCTTAAAACACCTGGTGGGAAGCCATACCTTTAGCCTCTGTTACTGTCTTAATTGAGTGTGGGAATCTAAAAGATAAACTCAGGGAACAAATACGAGAGGTACTGGTTCCCGCCGGTCAAGGACTTCCAAAGCAAGCCCACACCCATATTGGTTTGCACTTGATTTGCATTTGGGGAGCCAAAGACTATAGCTCTTCCATGCCTGTACGGAGGGCGGTGAAGTATGTTTCTTCTCAATTCTCCAAAGTGGAGCTGCTGCCAGGTGTAGCGTTATGAGTGTCAGGGGCTAAACCTAAGAAGACTACCTAGTGAGCACTGCAGTTTCATACATATCCTACTGGAAATCTTAAAAGCAAGCTTGGCTTTTTTTGTAAATAACGTGAATATAGAAGTCTTTCTCATCTCTCAGTAATGATGAACTGGAAATTCTGTTCCCCTCCTCCTACAAAACAGATTCTGTGGAAAACATTTTTTGTTGTATTGCTAGGTTTTAGGAATAATGTTTCCAAAGGATCAAGAAGGAAGCAAAACGCTGGGCACAGTGGCTCACACCTGTAATCCCAGCGCATTGGGAGGCAATGCACTTGAGCCAAGGATTTCAAGACCAGCCTGGGCAACATGGCAAAACCCCATCTCTGCAAAAAATAAAAATAAAAATAAAACTAACCAAGCATGGTGGTGCATACATTTAGTTGTAACTACTCTGGAGGCTGAGGCAGAGCAATCATCTGAGTCCAGGAGTTCGAGGTTATAATGAGCTGTAATAGCACCACTGCATTCCAGTCTGGGTGACTGAACAGAACCCCATCTCTTAAAACAGCAAAAAACAAAAAAACAGCCAAAGCCTGAGCAGTAAGTAGTGAGCACACAGGAAGTTCAGGGTTTCGCTGGGGAAGTCATCCCCATTCACACTGCTAATAGGAAACAAATTCTTGGACAGCTTTTGAGGAGGGAATCTGAACCCGAGGCTCTCAAGTTAGGCCAGAGATCCTGGAAGGGCTTTCTCAAATTGTCCACCTACATTCTTCACGGTTTCAGATCAAGCAACTACGGACTTAAAATCAAAGATCACAAAATGCGTGAGGGAAGAAACCACTTTAAGTGAAAAATACAAAGTAGATTGAACTCCTAGGGACTTTAGTTATTTAAATTACCTTAAAGGACAATATTTGAAAGGTTTAAGGAAATAAGAGATGAAGGAAATCAAGAAGAGACTGTCTAGAGTAGCCACAGAGTGCTTCCTTTTCTTCTATCTGAACAATGACCTAAAGCCATTAGGCAGCACTAGTGGTATAGCAGGGCTGGGAGAGATGGGTAGGGATGTGCTGGCCAGGCTGGAGGATCAGAGCCCAAGCGTCTCTTCCTGCCCACGCCTTGTGAGAGGGCTGCCCAGCAAGGCATGTGAGAGCACCACTGGGTGCAAAGTATGTCCTGTGGATTGGCAAAGTGAGGAGGGCATCCACCCATGGGGGCAGTTCAAAATGGGGAGTCACACATGAGTAGGTTACTAGGACATAATCCTGAGGTATGGGCACAATGTGGGATTCAGGGCCCTACTGGGATGAGGTGGGAGTTGCCAAAGATGAGTAGACTAGAATAGCAGAGTTCTAGTTGTAAGAGTTTTCACACAGGTGAGAGGCAGAACACAGGGAATCAGAACTCCAGTATATAAGGGGACCTGCACGAAAGAAGGTGACAACAGAAATGGCATATTGGTTATGAACAGGGAAATTGATCAGATATATAAATATATTAAGGGTGATGGAGATAAATTTCTCACTGTCCAAATAGGGAGTTACTTACATGAAGAAAAAGCTAAAATTAACCCTATGGTGTGTTATTAGAATAAAGAATCAGAGTGATTGCACTGATGGTTTTTGATAATTGTATTTCATTGTAGGAGTAAGTGTATATGCGTATTTGTGTATAACTCTGTGTGTGTGCGCATGCATGTGTGTCCTAACTGTCCACCAAGAGTGCCCTGGAGACAGCAGCCCATCTTGAGCACACCCACCACCTAGATCTTGGTTTCTAAATACCACTTTTCAAAAGGAACCAGTATTACTTGGAAAAACAACTGAATTCAGGGCTAGGGCATGGAATGCACAAGATCAGCCTGGAACATCTTGTTCCCTCCAAAAATCAAGGGAGTGCTTGAATAGTGATAGAGATATGTCAAAAGGACACAGAAGTGAGACTTAATGGACCAAAGCAGAGATGAGATGAGCATCAAATTAAATAATGAGAGTAATAGACTAGAAACAGGAAAGCTTGTGTCTATACAAATACTGATAAAGAATAAATTGAGCTTTATATGGAAACAGTATATCAAAATAGTTAAGGTGTTCCTTCCTAGAAAATATATATTAATTATATAGTAGAAAAGAATAATTTTCAGTGGAAAAGCCTCTAAAACCACCCTAACTGATCAAAGTAAACATTTTCAGTAATGGGATAAATAAAAGTTGCCACCTGATATAATACAGTATGAAGAGTACAGCATCACTTCTGTCAAAGATACCTAACCAAATCTAATTCTGAAGGAAAAAGCACAAACTCAAATTGAGACATTCCAGAAAATAATTGGCTTGTAATCTTCAAAGATCTAATTATGAAAGTCAAGGAAAGACTAAGAAAACATTTCAGACTGAAGTAGAAAAAGGCATGACAAATGCAATAAATGATCTTTTCACTCTATTATTGGGACAATTTGCAAAACTTGATAGGGTCTGAAGGTCAGATGGCAGTAACACACAAAGTTAATTCCCTGATTTCAGTGATTATAAGTGGCTTATAGGAAGAAAGCCTTTGTAGTAAATACTACATACAGTACTTGTGGCTTATGGGGCATCAGGTCAGCAACTTAGTCACAAATGATTCACAAAAAGAGTTTAATTTTACTCTTAAACTTTCTATGGGTTTGTATTGCTTCAAAAAAAAAAAGAGGAAAAAATCAAATCAAACACTGTTCAAAATACAGTTGTTAAAAAACTCAAAGGGAAAATTACACAGATGAGACACAGTTGAGAGAATTTGGGAATTAAGGGGGGTAGATAAAAAAATTTCGCAGAATATAACGCAAAGAAAAAAGGAGATGAAGGATGTGAATGAGAGGTTTAGCAATTGAGAGACTGGAATGAGGATGCCAAACACATGTGATATAGCTTGAATGTTTGTATTCCTCCACCCCAAATTCACATGTTGAAACCTAATCCCCAAATGTGACAGTATTTGGAGGTGAGGCCTTTGGAGGCGAATAGATGAATGAGATGAGTGCCCTCATAGAGACCCCCAAGAGCTGCCTTGCCCCTCCCACCACGTGAGGTTAGAGTGAAAAGATGGCCACCTATGAGGAATGGGCCTTCCCCAGACACTGAGTCTGCTGTCCCCTTGATCTTGGACTTCCCCACCTCCAGAACTGTGAGAAAGAAATTCTGTTTATAAGCAACACAGACTGTGTTATTTCATTACAGCAGCCTGAAGGACTAAAACCCTATGTAAAAATGAGGTTCCAGAAGGAGAGAATACAAAGAATAGAGGAGAGGCAATATTTGAAAAGATGATTTCACATGATTTTTAAGAATTAGTGAAAGACATAAATCCAGAGATTCAGGAAGCATAACAAGCATGGAGTAAAAAAATAAGTAAAAAGAAATCCACACCTAGACATGCGGTGAAACTAAAAAATTTAGTAACCAAAAAAAGAGAAGATATAAAAAGCAGCCAAAGAGCAACTTCCACCTCTGGCCATGATGGAGTACTGAGACAGGCTTCTCACTTCACAAACAACTCGAAAACTGGACAGACTTGGAAACGCTCTTTTCAGACATTGGAAGACAGGCGGTCGAGGACCACGATCCCTGAGAGAATAGCAACAAACGAGGTAGGCCTTATGATAGCCCAGCTTTCTGGATTGTGAGGCAGGAAGGGGAAACTCTAGTAGAACACTGTGGTCTTAATGATTTGGGGCCACGGGGATGAAAATTTGTAGGTGCTGGTGTGGGACATTTGTGGGTTGCAATACGAGTTCTGGAAATCTGCATGGAGTCACCTTGAATATGTTGCTGTAGGGTGACACTCCATGAGGATAGAAAAAGTACGTCAGGAACAACCAGAAAGCTAGAGTAAAGGTTACTCCAGGATCTCCTAACAGAGCTTTAGAACAATCCTGGAAGGGAGTACAGCAGGGAATTTAATGACCTGCCAGAACGAAGTCCAATGTTTTTAAGAGAAGACAACCAAATTCGGTACTCAATAAAGTAAAATTCACAAAGTCCAGCATCCAATCAAAAATCACTACTGGGCCGGGCATGGTGGCTCAAGCCTGTAATCCCAGCACTTTGGGAGGCCGAGACGGGCGGATCACGAGGTCAGGAGATCAAGACCATCCTGGCTAACACGGTGAAACCCCGTCTCTACTAAAAAAATACAAAAAACTAGCCGGGCGAGGTGGCGGGCGCCTGTAGTCCCAGCTACTCGGGAGGCTGAGGCAGGAGAATGGCGTGAACCCGGGAGGCGGAGCTTGCAGTGAGCTGAGATCCGGCCACTGCACTCCAGCCTAGGTGACAGAGTGAGACTCCGCCTCAAAAAAAAAAAAAAAAAAAAAAAAAAAAAAAAAAAAATTATTACTGAAGTGAAGGAGCAGGAATATATGATCAATACGAGGAAAAAATATTGATCAATAGAAACAATATCACAGAAATGATGGAATTACCAGCAAAAAATTTCAAACAATTACTATACCTACGCTCAAGAATTTAAGGAAAAACAAGGCCATAGTGAAGAAAGAAATCGATAGGAAGTGAATATTTCAGAGCTGAAAAATGCAGTAGTCAAAATAAAATGTTCAATGGGTAGAAATAAAAGTACTTAGAAATTTCCAGTTTTATCTCATAGACGTAGAACACTGGATTAAGTGTCACTGCCAAGGTTACAACAAGAAGAACTGTAGCTTTCTTGAGCCCATCAGAAAATCAACGTTGCAGAGCAACCAAATAACTAGAACTCTAGGGAGAGACACCTGGGAAGAAAAACAGGACCTGAGCATTCGCTTACCTGGGACAGAAATAAATGATGCCATAGGTGTGGGAAATAAGAGTCAGCTAAAATGTTTAAAATGAATTTCTAAATGCCATGCGTGAGAGTATGAAGTCCCTTGGGGCTGCAGAGTAGAGAGGTTTGCCTCCTCTTGCAGGCTTCTTGTTCATGAACTCCACCAGGTACTCACAGGAAAGATGGGAGAATCCTAAGAAAGTTCCTCATTATGTTGGCTGAGGGAGGGAACAGTGTCCACTCAAGAAACTCCATCCGTACACAGCTGCCTTATCTCACCTATGGAAAAAGGCCTTCAGAGAGAAAGGCCACAAAAACTGTGGCCTTAGGGCAATGGGGAAG